CGTAACACAATCCGAAAAATTAAAAACAACCGTTCTTTTTGCCAATAATCGCCCATAACTCAAAAATCTACATAGGAAACCATCTTTAGTGTTCTAACAAAAAGGTTTCCTTGAGCGATTTTACTATATATTACATCAATAACAAACACTAATATAATCGCTAACCCAGTATTAACAGCTTTTTAAGAGTTTTATTATCGCAGAATTTTCGGGGTGTTGTTGGGGTAGTTATCTTTCTGCCACGACTTTCGCTCGGACGCAAAACTTTCATTTTTAATACACCTGCACCTACTTTTTGATACACCTAATGTGCTCTTACTTTATTATGATTTTAAAAAAGTCACGTGACCGCCGCACTTAAAATTGACCAATGGAATTGCTAAAGAAATTTATAAAAAAAAGCTTGAAGTTTTCTTGATCAAAACTAATTTTTCTATTATGCTAACCTTATTTAAATTCTAACAAAGATTGTAGAGAAGAAAATTGCGATTCCAACATTGGTAAGAACACCTAGATTGGCTCAATTTATCGCGAGATATGAGTAAAAAAAAGTTTTACGATTCTCTAAAGTTTCTTACTCATCGTGATGTACTAAGCCAATTCTGACGATCTTACTACAATTAGAATCGTAATTTACTTACAACGTTTACTAAAAGCCCGATTAGAAAATTTTCATGTTTATAGAAATTCTTTAGAATCTTACTCGCAATTCCATTGGTCAAGTTCAAGTGCGGCGGTCACGTGACTTTTAAGATCGTTATCTCAAAGAAAGTTTTGCCGCTCGGACTGTCTACGGACACGTACCAATTCATGTGATTTGCACGAACCGGATATCACATGATGTTCAACATACATAAGCTATCGAAGTAGATGTTTGCTTTTTGAACAAATTATTTCGACAACTATCCAATATAATTCGATAAAAATTTTTTTAAATCAATTTTATAAATTAATAGAATTCATTTAAAAAAATTTCATCGAATTCTATTAGGTAGTTGTCAAGAAATTTTCGTTCAAAGCTTTGGAAATTTTCACCGCCTCACAAGGAAAGAACCGCGACAGAAATGTTTTTAAACTTTGAACAAAATTCCTCGATATCTATCTGATAGAATTCGATGGAAATTTTTTAAATAAATTTTATAAATTAGTAGAACTTTCTTAAAAAATTTTACCGAATTCTGTCGAGTAGTTGTTGAGAAATTTTTATTCAAAGTTTGGGAAATTTCTGCCGCCTCCTAAGAAAGTAGCTGCGGTAGAAATTTTTTTAAAATTTGAACAAAAATTGCTTAACAGAATTCGGCGAAATTTTTATTACGCTTTGCAAAAAGATGTAGCCTCTGCAGATCACAATATCGTGTGAGAATATAAACGTAACCAATCAAAACCTAACGCTAATCCTTTTGCAAACCACAATAAATGAATCCTACTAATTTATCGAATTTATTTAAAAAAAAAATTTTCATCAAACTCTATCAGATAAATTTCGAGAAATTTTTATTCAAAGCTTAAAAAATTTCAGCCGCGGTTATTTTTTTGAAACGGTGGAAATTTTCCAAAAATTTGAACGAAAATTTCTCGACAATTACTTGATAGAATTCGATGAAAATTTTTTTAAATAAATTCTATTAATTTATAGAATTGATTCAAAAAAATTTCTTCGAATTGCATTAGATAGTCGTCGGATAATTTGTCCAAAAATTAGGAAAAAATCTACTTCGATAGCTTATGTAGTGATGTGCCAGTTATATGATAGCCCAATTTTTTCGCGTACAGTACGTACAGTATGTATAGTGTAATTGGGAGATAAGATCCGGCATCAAGCACATGACCGAGGGTCGTGACCAAGAAAGTACCAGATCAAATGATCAACATGTGAAGATAGCATTTAGTAAATGCTATTTTGGGTTTGACTCGAAACGAAGTTCTCATAGAGAACAATAATATGACGCCTCTAAAGATAATTTCCATAGTAAATTTATGTTCTTGTTTTTTTTTCGCCTTTATTTTTATTTTATTTTTTGTATTATATGTTACGCATTGATCTTACATGTGCCCGCTAATTTTTCGCTATATCCATGTTACTCTTCTAGTGTCCAAGTTTGCTATGCTTAAAGACCAAAAGTAAGTTTATTATCGTTTATTGGGCCTAATATATATGTTTTCAATTATGTAATATATCGCTGATTAGCACTTAGACTTAAGTTCAGTAAGAGATATATAATCTTTTGGCGATATACTCATATTACGATAGATCAATGTAAAAAAGGAAGCTATGTTACATAAGAGTTGGTAGAGAATAAGTGTAGCATGGTAAGAAACGTTCTCAACTAACCGCCAAATTACGAAATCTAGTATTTTTTTGTAATAATTATAATAGGAATTAAATATCAAAGATTATACATATTATTTAATTCTTTACTTTTGACATCACTATTATAACGTTTTTACTATTAATTCATTCACACAATATTAATATACAAGAATATGATAATCTTTAAGATCATAACATCCAAGATTTTATGTGCGAACATCCCGATTGGATTTCTAACGCTAAGCCAATTTTTAACCCGCATAACATAACATACGTACGTACAGAATTGAAAATATTTATCCGATTTGGAATTTTAGCATCGAATGTGAAGTTTAAGCGTATAATCTTATATTTTTGCCCGCCACACATGTTGATCAATAAGGTTTAAGATTTTGTGGACAGAAATCAATTAACTCACTATAAAAACCAATATATATCGTGTTATTTACATAGCACTTTGTCCCTGGTATTAGAGCTCTTTTCAAATTACTGTCCGTCAAAAAAAAAATCATTATTATTATTTTACAAATAATCAACTGGGAGAATAACAATTTAGAAGATACCAATTTACTAGTATAACATCCATTTGCATATTATATTTGTAGCTTATTGACCAGTTAATAATAAACATTTCTTTATCAACGCTTTTACAGTTTTCACAAAGGTTATCTCGATAATGTTCTCTTCGCTTTCAATGTTTAAAACTATTTAAATCAACAGAATTCGAAAATGATTTTAAACATTAGAATTAACTTGGCCGTTATTGTGAAGTCTTCAAAGTTTGAATAAACACAGCTGATATTAAAAGTTAAACAGTAAAAAAATCGAATATAACAATTGATAAAAATAAACTAATATAATTTTGTATTTTAATCTTAGATTCTCGTGTGTGGTGTGATGCTTGATTAATTTGAAACAAAAAAATCAAAAGTAAATGCAAAATTTTGTGCTTTCTTTATAGTTAGGCATAATATGTAATATTCAGTTTATTTTTTACTGATAATTAACTAGTACGTACATGTAACACTTCAGAATCAACCTATTATAGGTACGTACGTATAAAGATAATAATGAAATATACAAAAAAAAATCCAAAACATTCCAAATAATCCTAATATGGTCGACTCTGAATATAATGAACCTTTTTGCTGTATAACAAATCTTACTCTATAACGAACCTTTTTAAAGTTCGGTATAGAAACATAGAAATTACACCATGAGGAACTTTTACTATAAGAACCGTTAGTTCGTTATAGAGTTGATTTTAAAAGATCTGTTAATGCTATCAGGGATGTACTTTTTAAGGTTTAGGTTTAGGTACTACGCCAATTTTATCCCATTTTAGACAATCCCGATCATTTTCATTCAATTCTCTGATCACACCATCTGTATTAACTCTCATTGCAAGAAATGAGGGTGAAACAGAAATAGAAGGGGATACTGCCTCTTCTTTAATAAGATCAATCATGGATATATCATTGTCTTCAATAAAAATAACACGCTTTATAAAATCACAACAACGTTTCATCGATACTTGAGAAGGTTTTAAAAAAGGAAACATCTGTAATAATTAATCATTCATACATGTAAAATTAATAATGCATTTTAAAAGTATTTACGACAAAAAAATATTTTAACAGTTAAATATACTTACTTGCCATGCATGGGGCATATCATCATAAATTTCAAGTATAACTTTAGTAGGTTTCTTAAAAGGTGACTTTTCAAAATTTTTAGTTGCATATGAAGGCAATTGATATTCATGAGGACTCGCAGCTTTATGGCTAATTAGAGTAGCTTCGTTATGCAATTTTTCATCACCTCCAACTTGCTATAATTCATTTTACAAGTTAATTATAACCTTAAAAAAAAAAAAAGACCATAACATTACAAAGAACTAACTTACACATAGTATAGGTGGTAAATTCCCTAAAGACTCAGCAAGCATGGGACTAGAAATTAAAATATTATAAAGATAAATACCAAGATCTAATTATAATTACTAATAAATTTCTTAAGCGAGATACCTAACATAAGGGATTGCCAACGCTTCATTAGCGCAATAATAATTAAAACGAGGTAATTCCGTAAAAGAAGGATGACTAACAATGGTAGGCTTTTTTAGAGCAATTTTATCAGCTAGAGCTTTTGCATTGACTTGATATTCATCTATGGCAGGCGATGAAGGATAATTTGTAAAAAGGCCTAGGTCTGAAGGTAAAAAATCTACTTTATCCATTTCGGCATCCCAAAATGATGGCATGCTATGAGTTAAGTCAACCTGTTTTGGGAGAAACCACGTTAGTTTTTCATTAATTTAAATTTGAATTTCAAATATACATACCCATGGTGACTTTAAGTATCATGTGAACAATAAATGGATGTAAATATGAATGATGAGACAAAATAAAAATATTTATTTACTTAAATCTTACCAATGCAATTGCGCCCGCTGGTA